GCTCTTCTAATTTTCAGGAAACATCTTTTCGTCAAAGTTTTCCGCTGACATTTTCCGCCCTCAACTTCTCGACGTAAGCAACGATGCAGGAGGATGAAAAGAACCAATCTCCGTGAATAACTATAGTTGACCACTAAACGAACTATAGATCATCCTTACTCCTTACGCGGAGACATCTGACGACTACCCCCTCTCGCTATCTCTCCACCATTGTCTAACGTTCAGTAGACCCCTTTTCGCCTAAATTTTCCAGGTCACACTTAGCATTCTCAACTTCTCGACGTAGGTGACGAGGCGAAGGGACTTCCGGGTAAAAACCAATCCCCGTGAATATCCATAGCTGACCACTAAACGAATCAATAGCATAGATTACCTTCACTCTTATACGGAAGCATCCGACGACTACCTCTCCCCCTAGCTTCTCCGTCGTCACCTACTCTTTCTCGGCTCACTCATCAGTCGAGACTCGGAACTTCCAGACAACGGTCATGCCGCAGGAGACGAAGTTTATACACCGTAGGAAATGATGCAATAAAAAGAAATAAAATAAAATACATAAATCATCTTGAATAAACCCACCCGATTTACAGTGAGGGCGACGTACCGCTTACACCACTCCCAATATTAACAATTTTTTATTCCTCATATTACTCCCTCCACCGAACCAGGAAAATTCACACTCTTTCCCCACCATTCCATTCCGGGACCTTTCCCTCACTCTCGACTCACCTCCCACCAAACCTCCAGGGGAGCCCTTCCTCCATCCCTCGACACACTGGCTCCAGGTTTTACTCCCACCACAAAAAAATAGGCCACGCCCTGTCTCACGGTAGCTATACATGTACTACTTATGTAAAAACATTAATGGTTTTAATATGTATATATAGCACATAATGTTGCATGTACATTCCATGAATATACATATTTTGGAAAATACTTCGATACATATCGCATGCATATACGTTAAAAGAAATTTGCAGTACATTCGATATCCGTGATAAATGGTACATTTGGCGTGTGTATATATATGAATATACTATGATGTACATCTTATATATATATACCTTGATAGATTTAATATGTATACATCGTACCACATGTATATTTTCTGGATATATATACAGGATGTCTGACTCGTACTGTTCCAGAGCTAATATATAGTTAGAATAGGTCGGAGTGAGTAATAGAATCGATGTCTTTTTTTAAACAACCACGTACAATTTTGAGATATTAACGATAAAAGATCTCTACCGAGCAGCAGCCCACTGGCCAATCAACACGCATGCTGCGGTGAGACGAACGCTGAGAAGCGCTGTAACATCAGCATGACAGTCTAGCCGAGCCAGCCTCCTAGCAACGCGTTTTCCTCGTTGTTAAGAGAAAACCTCGGCTTCTTGAGTCGTTCACCTTACCCACTGCGCCACTGTCACTTTTACCGAGAGACACTTTAAATTGTATACATATAGTATATCCTTGTACAAAAACAAATTACTTATTAAAATAAAAAGAATAGATCTTTTTAAATGTAAAAAGTATATTTGAAAAATAAATATTAAATTAATATTAAAGAAATGTTGATTTAAATATTATTTTAAATGTTTAATTAATGTAATACAAATATGAAATCAATATTAAATAAACATTTCTTTAAATATTATTTTAAACGTTTCATTTAATATCAAATAAACGTTAAATAAATGTTATATAAATATTTTTCTTAAATTTTTATTTTAAATGTTTAATAAATGTTACATAAACGTTTAATAAATATTTAAAAAATATTATTTTTACAATAAACTGTACAATGTAATATCAATGAAAAATAAATATTTAAAAAACCTTTAAAAAACATTGTCTACTGATTGGGTAGAAATATAATAGTCAGAAAATAAATTTTTGTATAGGAAAAATAATATTTAATAACCTTATAAACGTATTCTTGTAATAATGAATTATCTTTCATAGTTTTTCTATAGTAATAAAGTTTACATATTAAATGTATAATAATGTTAAAAGGACAATAAGAGTTAAAGCATAGTTCTAATAGTGCTATTAAAACTATTAAAAATAGTGACCCAAACAGAGAGCTGTGATGTAAATGTCTCTGTTGTCCAGGAGCATTGTATTAAGTGTGGTCATGAATTTAAATTGGATAGTGTCAAAATTTTACATAAAGAATGCCTTTTTTATAAAAGGATGATTGCGGAGATGATTTTTATTAAAATGCAGACACACGGACTAAATTCTCAGACTGATACTGAGAATTTGGGAAAGTGTTATAATACTTTGCTTGGTTTGACTTGAATTGTTTTCGTCTGTAATTTGTACCAAGTAAATATAAACACATGATTCTGTGCTGCTTGCGGCATTCGGAGGTACACGTTTATTAGCTTAACATCTCCCTGGAGCTCTACTATCTATTATTGAGGTATTTATCATTGTTTTTTCCAGACTTGGTTTGGTTACTCTATCTTAATACGTTTTTAGATAATTACACCACAGCACCTTAGTACGTTCGATGGAGTGACCAATCTTACAACAAGTTATTTACTGACTAATGCCTTCGGTCTTCCAGGGAGAGGTTTCTTTGTCTTAATGACTATTTGTATTTGTTGGCGTTCGTGCTTCCGATTTCCATAAGCAAATTTTGTAGCGACAACTTTTGTAACAACAACTTTTGTTATACCGATTATTTGCGATCTTAAGTTTGTGATATTTAAATATAATTCGTTTTTTATTTGTAATCACTGAAGATGGTCTGTGAAGTTAGACCGAAACGCGTTTGATGATTAATAAATTTCTTCTCATTGGATATTGGGTCACTATTTTTAATAATTTGAATAGCACTATTAGAACTGTGCTTTAACTCTTATTGTCCTTTACATTTAATATTGATTATATTTAAGAAGAGTTTTTATTTCTTTTAGTTTTTAATGAAGTTTACATACTTATACAAATCAGTTCATCAAGTGTTACTTATAATACTCGTATTACCACTATTGAAATTTATAGTGTTACTTCTGACATTACTGGTTAATAGTATCACTGCTAATACTAGTAGTGTCACTATCAGAACTAATAGTGTTACACTATTACTACTAGAGTCACTAATAGTGCCACTATTAACATGAATAGTGTCACTTTCAGTATTAATAGTGTACCTAACAGTGTCACTATTAACACTAATAGTGACACTACTAGCACTGCTAGTGAAACTATTAGTGACACTATTATCACTATTACCACTATTACCACAGTATTTTTTTTTTTTTGTAAGAGATGGTAAGCAAATTTTCAAAGTACAATTTAACTTGAATTAAGTAACGTGTAAAACAATATCAAGTAAATACTAAAAACATATAGTTTATAAATACTTTGTGCTGTCTGGATTATGTTATATATACTCAAATATTTTTTTTACATACATTATGTATATACAATGTATATACATTATACGTGCTAATGCATATTAACATGTGTTATGTATATGTATGTTATGTGTTATGTATATGTAAGTTATGTGTTATATATATTCAGAGAATATATAGAGTGTATATATCAGGATCTTGAACAAGTTCTCGCTGTTTTCCAACAGATGGCGTTACCAGAACTGCGTGCGTGTAGTTTAAGATGTAGTTTAAGAAGTACTATAAGCAAGCTTGAAATTAAGTGTATGTCGAAGTGTAAACAACTTTTTTTTTCATAGTGTTAAACATATCGAGTTTTATGCCAGAAAAAGAATATTTGCGGGTAATTTTACCGCACTACTTTATTAAAAAAAAATCTGCAGCTGAAGCACACAGAATTCTTTTGAGACTTACGGCGACCATGCTCTGTCGGAAACAATATGCAGAGATTGGTTTAGAAGCTTCAAAAATAATGATTTTGATGTTGAAGATAAAGTGCGCTCTGACGCACCGAAAAAGTTTGAAGACGAAGTATTGGAGGCATTACTTTATGAAGACTCATGTCAGACGCTAGCTGAATTCGCAAAATTATTAGGAGTTGATCACGCAACAGTTTCAAAACGTTTGAAAGTATTAGGAATGATTCAAAAGCAAGGACATTGGGTGTCGTACGAGTTGAAGCCGAGAGACGTCGAACGGCGTCTTTTCACGTGTGAACAGCTGCTTCAACGGCAGAAAAGGAAAGGTTTTTTGCATTATATCATGACTGGCGATGAAAAGTGAATACACTACGATAACCCTAAACGTAGAAGATCGTGGGGTAAGCCCGGCCATGCATCAACATTGTCGGCAAAACCGAATATCTATGGTTCAAAGGTTCTGCTCTGCATTTGGTGAGATCAGCTGGGTGTAATTTATTATGAGCTGCTCAAACCGAACAAAACCATCACGGGAGATCGCTATCGACTACAACTGATGCGTTTGAGTCGAGCATTGTAGGAAAAACGACCGCTATACGAGCAGAAACACGATAAAGTGATTTTGCAACATGACAACGCTCGGCCACATGTTGCACAACCGGTGAAAACCTACTTGGAAACGCTTAAATGGCTCCTATCCATTCGCCGTATTCACTAGACATTGGCCCTTCAGATTATCACTTGTTCCGATTGATGGCACATGACCTGGCTGAACAGCACTTCCATTGTTATGAAGATGCCAAAAAATAGGTCAACTTTTGGATAGCCTCAAAGGATATGTCGTTTTTCCGACGTGGAATTCAAATGCTGCCAGAAAGATGGGAAAAAGTAGTGGCTAGCGATGGACAATACTTTCAGTGACATGTTTTTTACGACTTTTTTTAAATAAAGCGTTAATTTTCACGAAAAATCAGCGAAAACTTATTCAAGGTTCTAATATATGGATAAAATATATATATGTAAAGAATGTAGAATGTACATACATATATATATATATATATATATATATATATATATATATGCACGGAACATTCTATATGTCTCTTCACGGTTATGGATGTAAAGGTACTATATATACATACTATGTACATACATAGGATATGCAATATACATAGATGTTTATACATGAAATATGCTATGTATATTCTAATGTTATATGCGTGGTTTCGATGATTTAAAAGTAGTAATTATAACTTTCACGACAAACAACGGCCAGGTCAATCGAAAAAGTTCGAAGATGAACAACTGCCACCTCTATTGGAAGAAAACCCTGCTCAAACACTTAAATTGGCTCAACAGTTTAAAGTCAATAAATCAACCATTTCACGACGTTTGCAAGCCATGGGAAACATCCAGAAAGAAGGGAGGTGGCTGCCATATGAACTGACTAAAAATGCCATTGCCAATCGTTTAAACATCTCAACTTCCTTGCTTACAAGATAAAAAAAAAGTTTTTTGTGGCGCATCGTGACCGGCGATAAAAAATGAATCTATTTTGACAATCCAAAACGCAAAAAATCATGAAATTGAATTCTGGCCAATTATCAATATCGACTACAAAACGAAACATCCATAGTCACAAAGCAATGCTCTCTATTTGGTGAGATATGGAATGTGTCGTCTATTATGAGCTACTGAAACCGAACGAAACAATCATCGCCGAACGTCATCGATAACGATTGGAGCGTTTGAATGATGATTTGATACAACAAACGACTATCAATTGCATCAAATCGTCGAAAAGTGATTCTTCTCCATGACAACGCTCGGCCCATGTTGCTATAGCCGTAAAACAAACACTGATGGAACTCGAGTGGGAGGTTCTCCCGTATCCAGCATATTCTCCGGACTTGGTCCCAAGCGATTACCATCTGTTCCGATTGATGCAACATGCTCTGGAAGACACATACTTTCTTAATTACGGAAAAGTCAAAAATTGTTTTGTTGAATGGATTGACTCAAAAGACAGATCATTCTTTCGTCGTAGAATTCAACTTCTATCAGAAAAGTGAGTAAGAGTCATAGCTTCCGGGGGCAAATTACTTTGATTAATGTATTCACACATTTTATTATTAAAATAAATGCTGTAAAGAAAAACATAAAAAACAGCAGTTTTTACGCAACTTCTTAATATAATGGCAAAATTGTGAAGTGAGCTACAAGTGTGTGAGTGTACGTGGGCATACAGAAAGGGCATTTATTTAGGAAAAGAATGTAATGGAAAAATAAGGAAGGGAATTGTATCTGAAACAATAAAATGAAGCACGAGGTGACGGGGAAACTCTAAAAGGGTGATTTCAAAATAACTCTGAATAATATGGTGGTGGTGATTGTGATACCGTATTCGCAAGCAGAAGAGCATGGTTCTATGAATAAACGGTTAAAGTAGAAGAAAACACGTTCAATATATGTAGGAAAAAACGTGACCCACTAAAATAATTAAATTCTAATATGAATCTTGAGGGAGGAGACTAGAGTTGGTCTCATTGAATTATCGTAACAAGATGAGCAGGGATGCGAAAATATGGATAATAAAAATAAAATGTACGACTTACTCTGGAGACATGTAGTAGATAATCAAAATAAGTTCTGTAGATGCATCTATGATATCTTGAGTGTTTATCTGAGCTGGGACCTGGTCTCTTGGTTGCGAGAGAATTGAAGCACTTTGATACCATTCGTCTAAGGTGCCAGGTAGATGTTCACTGAATCTCTAGCCCGATCGCAACGCGAAAACTATGAACTTTCTCTATCGTAGTAAAACGAAATACCTTTTGAAGTCTAAAAATAATTTAATAATAAGCGTCTCAGCGTACTGAAGATTACGAAATAAGTATAAGCTTGAGTAAAGAATGCGCTCGCGGCGTGGAGTTGCGGGTAAAGAGTATTCTGAGTTGGAGGTAGTTCTTCCAAAGCGGGAGAAAACTTTCCGAAGTAAAGTTAATGGATTAGCCAATAATAATTAGGAAATTAGCAACTTCGACAATTTAGTTGGAAAAGCAGAGCTTGGAGTGGGCAAGACAAGATTTTTCACTTATTGAATGCAATAGGGGTTAAGAGTAGTTGTGTGGCCTTTGGCTTATGGTTCAAGATAATGGCTGGATATGGTAGAGTAAGATTCGATAGGTACGGAGGTTTTGAAGTCGGAGGGATGCTGGAGAATAGGAACAGAAATTTTAAATGCAGTCGCGGATATTGGGTATGTGGAGACACGACCGCAATAAATTTACAAAAATACGGACTTTTATAACTGTCCAGTAATATTTGTCAACGTATAGGATTTACTCGTGAGTCATGTATGGAGCTTTGTTCTTTCGATAGGTTAGATAATTCGAGTCATCTGGGTTTGCATTGGTCTATGTTAGTTTGGAAGTTTTATGTGACTTCATATGCGGCGACCCATGGTTTTTGCTAGATTTTCCGCGTAAGGTCCTAATTTTAATGGCTTATGGGTCCTGACGAACATATATGGTGAACGTCACAAGCGCGGTGAATACATAAACAGTTTTAATCTTTACGACCGGATATTCGATGAGGTCTATAAGTCCTTTGATCGTGCGAAACGTGGTTCACCATATGCGTTCGTTCTGACTCACAATGATTCAGACAGAATAATAAATAACACTATCCAACAAAATTTGACTTTTTTCCTGCGGTAATCGCAGCTACTATTTTTCAATAAATTTGAGGTCACTGAATTCAAATTCACCAGCAAAAAATGCCCATCACGTCAGGTTTTTCAGATAAATCCAGTAATATGAGTAAAAAGCTGCGTTTTTTACCATATTTCCCAATTTTTGGGCCAAACAAAATTTTATTTTTCAAATTCATTGACTTTAAGATCGCCACTTTAAAGTACTATTCTTCACCTTTAAAATAAATTTTTATTTTTTACTGTGCGATTTTTTCACCGAATTAATGTTTTCCCAAATGTAAAATTTTATACATTTATAAATATTAACTTTTATGCTCCTCCGTTAAAATTTATTAATTTATTCCATCACGTTGAGTCTGCCATTTTGAATTTTGTCATTTTGAGTTCAGATTCGTAAGCAGCGTCCCCAAAAACCCCAAGTATTAACTTTGGTCCGAATCGAGTCATTTTTCTTATTTCGGTTCACCATATTGGATCTGCCATTTTGAGTAGATACAGTAGACCGGTTCTAACCCAGGTCCTCTGAGGGGG